CGTCTAACCTCATTCACCTATAGAAGGTGTCTAGCCAGACTTTATTAAGCCAGGGCTGGTACTGCTACTATCAATACTGCTACTTCTAATACTACTTACTAGAATGTAGCTTAGTGATAATATTTATTGGTACTATTACTGACTGTTTTGTAAGTCGGAAGTGATGATTAAAGTCAGCACTGGGCTCGTATCCCCTCAACCTTGGCAACACATGTAGTATTACTGGTGCTGGCACCGACGCTACCATTTGGCAGAGGTGACTCTGGTTAAGCTTCTATCCCCTTGGTCTCAAAATGTAGTGTGAATCTGGGATTCATATATTTCGAGTAAGTACATGCTGGGGGTCCTGAGCGCAGCAGCGTTCGCCTTGGTTTCCGCAATTCCAACTCTATTCATCGAGCTATGTACGTTTCTATTAGGTATGGATTAAGATACTGCTGTTATAGGTACATGTCTATGCTAAAAGTGCTAATTTCTAGTAATCATGCTTACTAGGCCAGTAGACAGCATACTACAAGTACTGTCTGTGTGTGCTTTTTAAGGATTCATACCAAGTATGCACTCCCAATCTGTGTGAGGTAATAGTGATTAGCATTTGAATAATAATAAAGCGTTTGTTAAGTAATGCACAAGTCCCACCATGCCCTTATGTCAAGCAGTTTGCCGTCTATAGACTACATTTAGGCCCACTACAGTATCTATCAGTAGTAGTACGACAAGACAGTATCAGGTAGATATAGTAGGACAGTCTAAGTCAGTGCAACAGGGATAGGGCAATATTAGTGATGCTGGTAGTATAAATGATAGTGGTGATATTAATACATCAGGGCTTTCCTTGGTTTCCGGCCGCTCAACTCTGTCCATCAGGCTGTGTCCCCTTATTGTTAATGAGACGTTAATAATTAATTTCGCAGGTTCTATCATGTCACATAGTGCTACAGTAGCCTTTTTCGCTGGTAGGGGAGCAATCTGCTCCATAATCAACTAATATTGATATTTCCTGTAACTGTGTCAGTAGCTGAGTAATAAGCAATAAGCATAACAGATGGGAATATGAGCTTGCCCAATTTCTCATCTTCACATGGTGATTCTGTAGGACACTTGGGATTTCCTGCGAGCATGCGGTCTCATTGTAGGGGTTGAAGACCATCAGATGCAGGCATACTACGCCGGACTACACGACAGGTTCGAGGTTCTCACGCGCAATACCGCGTATGCACAATGAGTCACAGTACGGATACGCCAGATACTATCTTGTCCTTCTTCTTAAATCGGGGACAGAGTAGAA